GTCCTCACACTTTTCTTTTAAATCTTTGACTTGCTTCTTGAGGTCCGTTAACGTAGTTTGCACCGATTCAACTTCATCCGACCACGTTGACAATCCATCCTCGACAGCCTTCACATTAGCTTGCACCTGCACAACCTCTGTGCGGATAGCTGCTGTGTTGTTAGCTATCTCGGTTTTCACAACAATAATTTCTTTCTTCAGCGATTCAAAATCCTTCGCCAGCGCGCTCTTCAATTCTTCATGATATTTCTTCCCTCAATGAGGAGAGGATGTCAGCTTTGATTGTTGTGGTGTCCATGCTTGTACTTACTGCAGGTACAGGTGGGGTTGGGTCAGATTTATCTGGACTTTTAGCCGAGGAGGTTTGGGGCCTTGTTTTAAGCCAAGCTTCGTAGTTGTATTTGCGGAGATTTGCTGCCATCAGCGTCGGTTCTTCTTCACTGACCTTGCTGGGTAGTGTTAATTATACAGTTACCGCGTTTAATTTGTATTTTCGAGCGTAGATGTCATATATGTTTGTAATTGAGATTCTGCAGGAGCTTACAAAAGTGCGTCTTACTCCATTGCGGCTCGCTAACGCCCCCGTGTTTATGGTTTTCAACCCCCGCTGTTTCCCACTCAGGAGAGAGAGTTGGCAGTACGCCCTCAGTCGGCGTTACAGTCCGAGATGTGCATCGCACCTGCACCGGGACGAGAGATAGAGCTGGGTCCCCAGGTCAGCGGATTTTGGATGCTGCTCTCATCCGGTTTCCAGCGTCCATCGTGATACAACCTGAGGACCGCGGGGGGCTCGTTTGGATACTTCACGTGCCTCATCGGCCGTGATCCTGGCTTCTGCATGCAACCTGTGGTGGCGCTGGAGCTCCTGCCTCACAGCTGTGGTCTCACTCTACTCAGCACTCTGTTCCTCATCACATCAACGACCCTTCCATAAGCCAGGCCGACTTCCACGTCCCGCCACCGAGTGCGCTCAAATCATCTTGTAGGTAAACGCAGCCAACCTGAACTATCGGCCGTGAAGAATCCGTCATCTAACCTGCTTTGTTTTCGCCCTTGTCTGCATTCTCAGACGCATCTAGTCCTGAGCCGTGACCCAGTCTGCAGCCAGCAACCGCTAGACCAGAGCGACTGGGCCAGGAGCCCCCTTTCCACTCTCGCTGACTCATCTATATCGCCTGGCTCTCAACCACTTCGCTTTACCATCTTCAATTAATAGACGCAGATTAATACTTTATTCTATCCCCAAGAAAAATTCACAAAAAACACGTTTATTGAAACTTCAATCTGGTCTGCGTGATGAGTTGCTGCAGCCGGTCCTGACAGAAAAGAGCATTTAGAAACGAAAGTCTATAGGTGGCCCTGGAAGTGCGAGACACACACAAAAACATTGACTGAAACACGAAGCGTATTAACGGAAAACATTTAAAAAACAACGAAAAGGTAGAACAGAAATTTCTTGAGAATGTTGCATTTTTTGTGGTGTGTATCTGTATCTAAAGATGATTTTTGTTTTTTAAATCTATTTACTGTGTTTGCAGCCACTTGTAGTATTGTCGTTGGATAGAACTTGGTAGTTTACAATTTGGGGTCTGCCTCGTAGTAATGTTGCGTAACATTTACTCAATAGTCACAGTCTGTATAATCAATTTTACAATGGGTTTCCAATTAAGCACTCGTTGAACATTGGAAAATATGTTCTGTTGGTATCTTTGTTGTTCTTCTTTGTGAGACTGATAAAATTTGGCATGTGCTTGAGAACTAATGGATCATGCACATGCTCGTTTGTACATTGTCTACGATGTGTAAGTCATCCGATATGCAATTGTGTTTCAAAAGGGAGCTAATTAGGGGATGTATGTGTTCCCAGTTACGCATGTTGTGCGCGAGAAGTACCAAAAAGAAAAAGAAAAAAAAAGGAAGTAAATGTCAAAATCTGGACCATATTTAACTTTTGCAGCCCATTAGATGGCAGACTTCAAGAGGGTTATTAGACGCAGCCAGAGCAAGAAGCCTCCAGTCGTTTTCATTACAGATACTCCTCATAACGAATTAAGAGGTTATGTTTGTCTTACATAATAATAATAAACAAATATATAATAATGAAATCATAAATCCTCTGAGGTAGTATAGATTAACACGTATAAACATAATCACATTAAGACTACATTAAACTTCAAGCTCTACTATATACTATTAATGTGTCATATACACAACTTTTTAATAATCGTATTAATCTCCTCTTTGCATATAATAATCACCGGTTTTTTAACAATGAAATTACTAGAGCTAACACAATAACAACTGCTTGAACAGTAACACAAATAATACAATTAAGCTATCGTATCAGACGCTATAACTTAATGCATGTATGAATGATTACAAGTTAGATTACTGTTTGCTTCCGCGCTACTCCCTGCTCCTCTCTTTATTTTGTGGAACATTAGTTACTTAAAATACAAATGCTCATGTGTGATATACAGATCTCTACTAAGAGTTGTTATTGCTAACATGAATAATTTAGTAACTTTCTAATTATCCTCTGTATATAATGTGCTCCTAAGCCTAGCAGTTACATAATTGTTACTGAGCTCGAGCCAAAAAAGCACCAGGATACACTATGACAGCTCCTTTGCTCCTTGGAAGGCTTTTTCACATTTCTGTTAATTCAATATGTGTGTCATCAACCTTTACTATAACCTCTTCAGGATGATGATACCCCGTTGACTGGATATCGATCAAGAATTTAAATAATCAAAAATTGTTGTCATGGGATACTATTGTTTCTGACATATATGATCCTACGTATCAGGATTCACCTATGTGGGTTCTCTCATATATTCCGTTCAAGTGCATTAATTTACTGATGTCGCCATAAAATATTTATTTCTCCTCGCTACTCTAAATGACTTTTTATACGTGTACTAAACAACACATATTCTCTGAAAAATATAACACATTACATTTTTATTGCCTCAACGCTATTAAACATGCTGGTGTAACTCAAGAAGTTCCATTGGTACTATCACACTACATGCACATTGACTCATTCAAACCATGTTGTTTTTGTATATGATGCATGGAATATCATACAATGAATGACAAAGGTTTGAGTGCCAAATTCTCCAGAAATTCAATTGTGAGCGGTTCTAACCTCCGGTCACACACAGAGTCCAATTCTCAGCAACCAGCTGGGGTGCGGTAGGTACTCCACTGTGTCCTGCTGTTTGGATCTGAGATTAACTTTCACGAATAGAACCCCATCTTACATTGACAGTCCAAACTCTCTTCTCATGTACTTGTAAGGTTAAATGGTAAGTACATTGTGGTTCGGAGGACAATTTAATTTGGATCTTCTTCAGAATTTAATTTGAAATCAATGGGTCGTTTTCCTGCGCCGCTGCATTTGTATTGTTGAAGTATGGAACGGCAATTGCTGAGATGAACTCATAGGATCGCTCAAAGGCCTCTAACATAAAAATGTAAAAATTGATACTCACTGTACTGTACTACATATATGACTGGTACAAATGCTGAGCGTATAGACAGTGGTTAATATTACCCCAAATGTAACGTTCTCTTCCTTTTCATTGTTCAGAC